ATCGTCGGGTTTAGTCTCGTGGAACCAATCTTACTGTAATTACTAGTTTCTGTAATTAACTGCACAATCAATCGCCGCCTAATAACGAATTACTGTACAAACTGCAATCAACCGCGGCCTAATTCCTAATTACTGTAATTAACTGCACTCAATCACGTCCTAATTACTACTTACTGTAATGAACTGCAATCAATCACGGCCTAATTACTAGTAATTACTACTTACTGTAATTAACTGGAATCAATCGCGGCCTAATTACTAGTAATTACTACTTACTGTAATTAACTGCAATCAATCGCGGCCTAATTACTAATTACTACTGTTACCTGCAATCGATCGCGGCCTAATTACTAATTACTGTAAGTAACAGCAATCCATCGCCGCGGCCGTTGAAAGGGCCTTTCTCATATTCGTTTCTCTCTCTCTACCTCATCTACCGTTTTCCACGAACACAACGCATCCGATCGATCGTCATGAGGAGTGAGTCTCTGTGAAGCAATCTAACTACTAAATTACTAATTACTAATTATTAATTACTAATTATAACTACTGTAATCTTCTTCAATCAATCGTCGCGACGGCGGTTGAACGGGCTCTTCTCATATCCGTTTCTCTCTCTCTCTCTCTACCCCATCTCCCGTTCTCCCTCGAACACAACGCACCCTACTTGTTTCATCCGAATAGAACGCACCCTCATCATCTTCGGACACGAGACATCTTCTACTGTATATATAGTCACAGGATGATGAGGGTGCGTTCTATTCGGCCGTCGACGATCGATAGTAGTTTCCTCGACCTGCTACCGAAGATACTTGATGCGCTACCCACTGGCCTACCGTCTTCCCCCCCTACATAACGCAACCCGATAAGGAATGTGTGCGAGCTCTCTTTCCGGTGCCATACGCCCATAAAAACTGAGGGTGCGTTGTGTTCGGGGGAAGACGGTATAGCTCTGTAGGTACACCCTTGGAACTCGCTTGAGCATGCCATGTGCGACTCTCTCTCTGTCTTTCAACAAGCGTAAACGGTGATGAGGCCACAGTGAACGTTCAGTGAGGCTGCACTTAGGCTGCAGCGAGTCCTCAGTCATCAGAGCTGAAAGAAAAAAACAAAACCAATCAATCATAATCATCATCATCATCATCATCATCATCATCATCAGCTACCACGCATCACGAATTAGAGAAACAAGAAAAGAAAAAGAAAATGAAAACAAATACCGTGCGGACGGGACTTTGTGAAACCGAATAAGGTTCGAACCTTCAGATCTGCAGCGAGACCTCTTTTTCTTTTTCTTTTTCTTTTTCTTTTTCTTCAGATCCGAAGTTTCGAACCTATTTTTTTTTTCTTTTTTTTTTTTCTTCAGATCCGAAGTTTCGAACCTATTGGGTTCGAAACTTCGGATCTGAAGAAAAAGAAAAAGAAAAAGAAAAAGAAAACCGAAGTTGAGATGATGTCGGCAGAAGAAAAAAAAAACAAAATCGGTTCGGAACTTCGGCTTCGGATCTGATTGGAATTGGAATTGGAAATTCGATAAGATGAATATGGTTTGAAAAGTGACGTATTCGAAATGATGTAGTCTAAATCGGTTCGTTTTTATTCGAACTTTTTTTTTTTTCAAATAATAGTAGAATCGGTTCGGTTTTTATCCGACTTACCTGCTGACGGAAGGAGTAAGTTCCCCTTTGTCGAAAAAAAAAAAACAAAAAGAATCGAGGAGGACGATCAGAATTCGTCATTCACACAAAACCGAAGTTTGGACCACCAAACCGAGGTGCCAATCATTAGGTAGGTCCTACGTAAGATCGCATAGAGAGGAGAGAGGACTTTATGTGCGCGAATCCAGCTGAATTGAGTTGAGTTGAGTTGAGTTGGAGTGGAGTCGAGCAATCGATTAATTAACGTTGACATACCGAAGAAAGCCTCGCATTCCCTCAGGATGACACGTGACGTGTTCTCCGAATTAGGAAAATTTTGAAAGCAAACTGTGCAACGATTGCAATTCAAGTCGTCTCCATTTTATTTTTTTCTTCTTTTTAAAGTTAAGCTATAACCTTCTCTCAATTTCACCTTTCACTATCTGCCTACCACTACTCCT